CCCCCCCCCCCCCCCTAACTGATTTCCACCGAGAGATAAAACCAGAGCAAAGAGCAAAGCTGGTGTCGCACGTCAGGTAAATCCAACCAACCAGGACACGTGTGTGTCTGTGTGTGCAACATGCCTAATCCCATACACCCTTGCCCCCCCCTTCAACATAAAACACACAGAAACGCGGAGGAGGCACCACATATGTTATCTCAGCGGACACATCACGCCCTGTTAACAATGTTTGGGTCGGTAAAGAGGAACTCGACTCGTTTCCAAATAAGGGCACAAGCGCGGCGCGCCGAGCCCCTTCGGGCCGACTCGCCTCCCCCCTGACCGGCTGCACTGTCCTTGTCAGCCTCTAAATAACTAAATAACCTTTAGAATAAGCCAATTGTTTCGCCCCGCGGCCGGAAAAAACTGCTCAAACCGCTGTTAAAATGAGAAGACCATTTCCTCCTGGCAAACCGCATTTCACCTAATAATAGACAAATAGCGTATTAGGCCATCAAGGCAGAGAGTCGGGGGAGAGCCGAGGTTATTGTACAGTGTTGAAGTGTGAGGAACGGTGCAGAAATAGGCTAAAGTGCAGAATTAGCATAATATTGGGCTCATATCAAAAACCAGGTTATGAAAACCTGCAGACGGATGAAGCGGTCTTCATCCTAGAGGTTAAAATATAACGTGTTCTATGTTAACGGCTAAGGTCAGGATGTGAACGAGCGTGATTTTTGTTATTTCCAGTGTGGAAAATCCACACCAGCAGACAGGAGAGACGCGCGGAACGGAACTATGGCCCGATTTCAAATGGCAGGAGATGAACGTCACAGTCCGCCGTGGAAGGAAACAAAGCCAATGACGACAGAATTCAATTCTCGCCTAAAACAGGAAGAATGAAAAAAGGCCGGATCATCTATCCCACCCAACAGTGTCAGTAAAATGCTCAGTTTTGGGCAGCTGCAAACGTGCAGCGTCGGGACTGGGCCACTTAAAGGATTCTGCTTTGTCAGCAAAAGAAAAGGGGACGTATTTGAGGTTTGTTCTCCTGCAATCAGCGTAATTTAGTTGTTCGTCCATGAGTGAAACTCCTTATCGAGTGTATTGCACACCGGCTGTCACGTCGCGTTTAATCACATCCCAAGATTTGTTCAACCCGGCATCATCATCATTATCATCATCATAACAACTGTCTCTTTCTGCTTGAACACACGCACGTCTGTGCACAGGATGAGCTGCTTATGTTCCAAAGGGTCCTTTTACCGCGTTGTGTCTCCATCACCTTTTACCAGTGATGGAGACGCTCACTCACACCATGAGGTCACATCTGGACAAAGCGAGACGACAACATCAGGCGATGAAGGCGGGCTCACCTTTGAGAACGCTCTTGCCGTGTAGAGCGTCTCTGGAGACGATGACCGTGTAGAAGTTCTGGGAGAAGCCGGGTCTGCACGGGGCTTTGAGGGTCTGGCCCGCCTTGCTCCCCTGAGGAGGAAAAACAAGTCGGGTTGTTAAGCTTTGAAAAATCAAGTGCAGCCACAGGGTCACAATCTGATCTTTGGAGCCCGATATCGAACTTGCGGGTCTCTCCGGAGTCGGTTCGAGCGTTTTTGTTTGTTTTTTTGGTGCAGACGTGACGGCACGCAGCACTTTCACAGTGTGCGATAGCAACAATCCCCACTAGCGGCATGACACATGACGCCCGTATGTGGACCACAGTGAAACTGATCACACGATACACGATGATGTGGTCGATGACACACCATCAGAAGGAGGGTGACGTCTATGACTTAGCAAAGAAATGTTGGACCTAAAGCCTCCACGCTGACTGGAGGGAGACAGAGTGTGGGTGCATGTGCGAGTCCAAAGGAGACATGCCAAATGCTTTCAATCACACTTTTGATTTACACGCACGATGGAGGCACACGGTTCCTCCAGCAGACATTCCATCCTGCTAAAAACACCTCGTCAATTCGGGTTTTTCGTGAAGGAAATGCACTCTGTAGCATTGTGCAGGCAGCACAAAGCTCACAGACACCTGGCAAATGAAGCGGATTTCAGAGCATTATTCGCTATAAGTTTGAAAATAAAGTAAGGAAACCTTTCCGTTGCTTGTTCCTTTAAACACCATCCTTCTTAATAAACGAAGGGTCGTCAGCCGGGCGGTTCATTGGGGAAAGTGTGCAGAGGGGGAGGGAGAAATAACGGTGCGTAACGTTAAAGCAAGTTGATCGCAGCCGAGGGGACGAGGAGCCCCTCCAGGAGCCACTGTCCTCCGCAATAACGCGCTGCAGTTTATCCGGGCGAGAGGACGGAGAGGGTGGAGATGATGGAGAGGACGGAGAGGGTGGAGATGATGGAGAGGACGGAGAGGGTGGAGATGATGGAGAGGACGGAGAGGGTGGAGATGATGGAGAGGATGGAGAGGATGGAGAAGGTTGCGCGCGAGTTCAACTGACTTTTTTCATCGTTTTTTTTTTCCCCCGTTTTGTCAAAGCGGTAAAGACTGAAATGTTCTTGACCTTAAACGTCGCCAAATTGAGCTCAGTTACACGCGTCATGTGCTTTTAGCGCAGCGCTGCGGGGGAAAGTGAGTCGCTCGCGCGCACACGCGCACACACACACACACACACACACACACACACACACACACAGCGGCACAGCAGTGCGGCACCGTACAGTCAGTCGGAAAGAGCCGCAGAAAAGAAGTCATCTTACCGAGGATGCAACCAGAAGTAAGGCGCACGCGAGGATGACGCAGCCAACGTTCATCTTTGCAAACTCGCGTGTAATGGGGGAGACAGCAAACCGACTCCCCTCGCCCCCCCCCAAAAAAAAAAAAAAAAATTAAGAGGAAGAGATGAAGTCTTCTTCTTCGCCTCAAAGACACCTCAGTAATTCCCGCAGCGCTGTTTCTTCCTCTCGGGCGCTGAGCGAACGACCGTCCCTACTTGTCTGGCGCAAAAGTGCCGCTGAGAAGACGGAGGGTTTTGCTGCGCTCCGTCCGGAGGAAGCCGGTGCCCATTGGACGGCGGCGTCACTACGGCCCCGCCCACCGCGCGCGGAGCGGGCGAGGCGGTGCGCGCGATCAGCGCTCAGACGGCTCCCTGTGATGACGCCCACGTGCGTGAGCTGGGCTCTAAGGGGGGGGGGGGGTAATGTATATATATATATATATACATACATATATATATGTGTGTATATATATATATATATATGTATGTATATATATGTGTGTATATGTCTATATATGTATATGTGTATATATGTATATATATATATATATATATATATATATATATGTATATATCTATATATATATGTATATATGTATATGTTTATATATATATATATATATATATATATATATATATATATATATATATATATATATATGTACAACTTATATAAAAAATATATGTATATACAAAATAAAAAACCTATTTCC